CTCTTTCCCCACCCAGCACTCTGACTGGAGTTGAAGACAGGCTGAAGGGCCAGTAAGACTTGATGAAAACACACAATCAACATGTGCTATGAGAACACAGACATTGGTTTGAGTCAGTTTAGCTGATTTCTCACCTGTGTGGGAGTCACTGAAGATCTCCCCTTTCTCACGGCCTTGGAGATCCGGGGTCTGCAGCTCTTCCCTTCGCTCCACCCAGGAGAGCACATGAGGTTTGGAGCCTGGAAATCCTATTCAGGGGAGCAATTAACCAAATGCTGATCTTGTTCATTAAGGTCTGTGCCAATGCTGCTGCCAAAGCCAAGATCTGAGTCTCCTACCCAGAAGGGCTCCTTCCCAACCTTCCAGAGACTGGTCTCTGGCTGCTACAAGATCCCAGGACACACTAATTCCATCCTCCCTCTGCCCCACTACCATGTTTGGAATAGCCCAGCTGACTCCCATGGGGAACTGAGCGCTCTGCTGCACTCTTGGAGGATACAACTGTCTCCCTTAGGGCCTGTTCCATACTTGGGCAGGACAGGAACACACTGCTCATATGGGGAAAGCTCTAGATACTCAGGACTGACAGACACCCCTAGCCAGGACTCATATTTGAGCTGACACAGGTGGGATCACTAGGGCTGGGAGAGAAAGGATCCAGCAGAGTTCTAGAGCCCTATGAGCTCTACCCACAGAGTTCTTGGCTTGGGGCTGGACTTGCCCTGCTCTTGGGCTCAGATGCTCTACTTGAGCCAGGAGGAGGCAGGGGAATTGTCTGATCAGGAGAATGAATCCTTGGTTGGCCACTTCAGGCCCTGTCTATGCTCCATATTCCTGATCCTGACTGACTGTGCCTGGGTGCCCAGAACAGCTGTCAGCCCTGCAGACAGCCAGGGCAGTGCCGGCCTGTTCCTGCAGCCAGCCAAGGTAGAGACAGGCTGGGCTGCTTCTCTGCTGCTCATAGATGCTCCTGCTGTTCAGCTCCTTCTGCAGTCTTGGTTCGACTCTGCCAGCAGCAGCAACTCTCCTTTTGTGGCCAGTCGGGCCTGCCATTTGGTGCCCCTCTGGCTTGCACAGAATCTACCAGAGGCAGGGAAGGACTCTGAGTTGGCGCCTTCCTTCCAGGGGCTCAGCACAATAGCACAAGGGGCCCTGCAGACACAGAGGCTGTGTCTAGATTGGCTGATTTTCCGGAAAAAATGGCCACTTTTCCAGAAAAGCTAGCCAGCTGTCTACACTGGCCGCTTGAATTTCTGCAAAAGCACTGACTTCCTACTGTAAGAAATCAGTGCTTTTTGCGGAAATACTATGCTGCTCCCGTTTGGGCAAAAGTCCCTTTTGCACAAAACTTTTGCGCAAGAGGGTCAATGTAGACAGCTGAGTTTTATTTTGCGCAAAAAAGCCCCAATTGCGAAAATGGCAGACGGTTTTTTTGCGCAAAAGCATGTCTAGATTGGTCATGGATGCTTTTCGGCAAAAAGTGTTTTTGCCGAAAAGCATCCGTGCCATTTTAGACACTTTTCCGAAAATGCTTTTAACGGAAAACTTTTCCGTTAAAAGCATTTCCGGAAAATCATGCCAGTCTAGACGTAGCCTAAGGGTGTGTGTAAACTACATGGCTCCGTCAACGGAGCCACGTAGATGAGGCTGATCGGCCAAGGGAATTGAAGCCGCGATTTAAACAATCGTGGCTGTTACGACGCATTCGGGTTTCCCTGAAAGCTGCCCCCCCTTAGTGGCACAAACAGACTCCACCAGCCAGTAGAATAGAGGGAGTTTATTGCGTCTCCAGGACACAGTAAAGCATAGATGTAATCGGGTTACAGGGCAGGCCTAGGATGCCTCAGCCCCCCTAGAGATGGGGGAGATTGGGCCCCTAAATTCCAGCCCCTTCCTTAGGCTGCCTCCATCATCCCCAACAGAAACTGCTTGACTCTCCTCCAGCCCTGCCGTGCCGTGCCGCCAGGGCTGACTTCGCCCTCCTTCCTTTGT